AGATTTTTTTCACAAATACAAAAATGTATTCTTAAAATGCAGGTAGTGTATGGAATCTTGTGACTATAAAATGTTTAACAATGATATCATTCATCAGATCAGCAGTGTGATCTTATATCAGAAAGTCAGTCAGAAATTGTCTTTTTTTTCATATTCTGAAAACCAAACTGATCATCCTAGAAAAAGTAGAAATGTAAGCCTTGTCATTTGCAATATACAGTTTTATACAATGTTATTTTAATAAAAATACTGACTGGTTTCCATGGCAAAAAAAAAAAAAAAGAAAGGTTGCATGCACATCTAACACATGGTCCTCAACACTCCTGTGTAGTTTCAATGAAATTTATTCAGTAGGATAGGAGAAGCTGTCCAGCACAAAATTTTTTTCTATGGACAGATGGACGAACCGTACAGTCGCTATGGCAACCAGGCAACCAGGCAACCACACGTCTTTTGGGAAAAATTGTGCATTTTCATCCCTACATTGTCTCTATTATCACTATATGTAATTTCACTGTTCAGGTGAAGTTGTCCTGACAAAACTTACGATTAGAAATCCTACTTATGATGACCTGTTATTGAGGAACCACACATCTTTTGTTTGAAAAGGGATGCAAGCACATTTACACATTGTACCAAATATTTACATGTCATAAAAATGAAACTGATGCATTAGGTAAGGAGAACTTGTCCCAACAGGTTGTAATAAAATGTAGATATCTCTTCATGACATATCCAGTCTTGCCCGGACACATCAGGTGTTTTGTAAGCTTTCATACTTTCTTACCTTTTCAGCAAACAAAGAATGAGATGCTGCTGCCTGTTTGTACCTAGAAGGTATAATTCTCTCTGAAAAAGAAAAGATAACTTTTACTTAATTATTCCTCATAGTCAATAAAAACGAAGATATAGGACACCCCTAACCCTGTAAACTAGAATTTATTTGCAAAGTGGTCGAGGGTGACCTTTGACCTTTAACCTTGACCAATGGCCATGAACATCTAATCAGGTGTAGACTCTGTTGGTATAGTGTTATGATGTAATATGAACCAAGTCTGCTGAAGTCATTATTTTATCACAGACACATGAACAGAAAAAAAAAGATTGATATATCCGACTCCTCAACCTACCCTAAGATTTAGTTTAGGGTAGGCTAAGAGAGAAGCTGGCTGGTAGGTTAAAAGACTGAAGTTTTTGACTAGGGCAGTGTGATTTTCAATGGGCACGTCTAAGAGTGAAGGTTTAGAATAAGGCAGTGTGATTTTTAATGGCCAAGTCTACTACTGAAGGTTTAGACCAAGGCAGAGTGATATTTAATGGCCAAGTCTACTACTGAAGGTTTAGACCAAGGCAGAGTGATATTTAATGGCCAAGTCTACTACGGAAGGTTTAGACCAAGGCAGAGTGATATTTAATGGCCAGGTCTACTACTGAAGGTTTAGACCAAGGCAGTGTGATATTTAATGGCCAAGTCTACTACTGAAGGTTTAGACCAAGGCAGAGTGATATTTAATGGCCAAGTCTACTACTGAAGGTTTAGACCAAGGCAGTGTGATATTTGTGATATTTAATGGCCAAGTCTACTACTGAAGGTTTAGACCAAGGCAGAGTGATATTTAATGGCCAAGTCTACTACTGAAGGTTTAGACCAAGGCAGAGTGATATTTAATGGCCAAGTCTACTACTGAAGGTTTAGTCCAAGGCAGAGTGATATTTAATGGCCATGTCTACTACTGAAGGTTTAGACCAAGGCAGAGTGATATTTAATGAGCAGTCCAGGACGGAAAATTCTCAGTGTCAGTTTTGATTTTTAATGGGAATATCTAAGACTAATTTTTAGACTTGGACAGTGTGATTTTTAGTGGGTATGTTTAAAACTGAAAGATTAGACTGAGGCAGAGTGGTATTTAGTTGGTATGTCTAAGACTGAAATAATAGACTAAGGCAGTGTGATATTTAAAGGACAGGTCTAAGACTGAAGGTCTAGTATAAGGCAGTGTGATATTTAAAGGGTAGGTCTAAGACTAAAAATGCTAATTGGGGTAGTGTGATATTTGATGGGCAGATATAAGACTGAACTTTAGTTCAGGGCAGCCTAATTCTTGATGGGTTAATATAATACTGAAGAACAGGTCTAAGTCTGGACTTTTAGTTCAGGACAGCCTAATTGTTGATGGGTTGATAAAAAACTGAAGAAGACTTGGGAAGTGTGATATTTGATGGGTAGGATGTAAATGATGTAGTATTGGTGTTGAGGCTTTCCATTTTATCAATGTGACATACCTCTTTTCTTCACAGATGATGGTCCTTTTGTAGGTCCTTTCTTTGTGGTAGTTCTAAAAATAAATAATTTTTTGTATAATGAAATGACATAAATCAATTTCATAGCTCTAAGTATGTGTCATACACAATGCATCACAGCTATATGAGAGCAGTAGCAAGTATACAAATATATCTGAAGTTGCAATCTGTGCCATCATTTTCATATTTCAAACTTGCTTCCTAAACATTCTCTTGACCATGTTGGATTTTTAGTTTTGCTGCCTCTAAAATGATGCAATGAAACTGCCAGGTACCTGGAGAGATTCCTGCAACCTTACCACATGAATTACTGATCACTTCTTTGAAATATAATTCATGTCAAACATATACAACTGTATATTTGTCTTAGCACTGCAATACCATTATATAAATAATCAAATTATGTGGGATTCAAGACACAATAAATGCTATCCAACATGTGACTACAATGATATTGTGAACATAGAAACAGGGACTATTCACCGGCAAAACTGCTGACAGATTACTGGAATGGATTATTTGATTTAGTTTAAATCAATTTGAAATTGGCATATAAGACAACGAAATGTGCCAAGAACATAAATATAAACACCGAACTGTTTTTCTATGGCAATTATTGTGTTTGTAAATGCCAGAGTTTTACCGGCAAACACATCATATTGCACTAGCGTGTAATATGATGTTTGTCAGCAAGGACATGGCATTTATATTAACCATAATTGTAGTAAGACAGTGCAATGATGAAGTAATCATTTCTATAAAATCTTACGTTTTAGTCGTCTTTTTCCCCTTAATGACATACTCATCCAATGAGCATACATCACTAACATCACTGACAAAGGACTGGGCATCATCTCGATCATTTTCACCCAAAACATCTCGGACTGGATTGCCAGCAATGGAAGAGACAGAAGAGTCATCGAAATTGGGCTGGGGGAATGTCTGTCTGTACTGAAGATCCTTCTCTATCTGCGTCAGTAATGGTAAACTGTCAATCGATGCTTGGTGGTGCTGTCCAGGTCCTAGATACAGAAGATAACAAAGTATTACCATGATGTCTTTTACCTCTTTGATAACTTTTGTGTCATACAACCACATTTTTAGTGACATAGCTGAATACAACACAGTTCCTTCAATATTGGTTTGGAAACAAACACCAGAGTAAAGCATAATCTCATTATGGTTCATTATTCCCTGCAAGGCTGCAGTATATTTGGTATTCAACACCATCTCCTATGGGTATTATGGAACAGAGATGTTGATGTACATTGTGTCAGGTTTTTCAATAATCAATTTGTATACAACCTATAAAAATGATGCTACCTCTGGCACCAGTATACATATGGAAGCAACATGCAGCTATTAGAATGCTGCTTTTACTGCATGAGGATATGATAAATTCTGCCACCCAAATATTAAAAGGAAACTTTCATGGAGAACACATCCAAAAAATTGGGAGAATTTTCTTAAAGAACACAAGAGTATGAAAATCATATTTAATAACTTGCTTTAGATATCCTCTTTTACACCAATGAACAATTTACAAAATACATTTCACAACCAAAGGTAGACAAATGTAAACAAACCTGAGTTTGCTTTCTCTCGTATCACAATAGGGGTTTTACGACTCTGGTTTCGCTCAGGCTCCGATAGAGAAATAGCACTACGTATGGACACATTTTTGTCATGGGTTTCCCTGGCCTTTTCTGCTGAGGCCCTGAAATGTACCATAATACAGTGTAAAGTTAATTTTGCAGGAACTAGAAAAAAAGGGATTAGCATGCATTCTTATACTTCATGTATATCATGGCCCTCTTGTTTTTTAACAAAAACTTCAAAATATAAAAAATTTAATTTGCTCATAAAAGAATGTTAAGATTTAATGACTATTCATTTTGCTGCAGTTAAAATAAAGACAGTTTCAAAATGTGACATTTAGTTTTCAATTATCCATAGAACTTTTTTAATCTAATTTTTCAGTGTAGATGTAGAAAAAAATGATTGACAGCACTGCAGAATAAGTCTGTAATCCAAATTCTTAGAATTTTACATCAAATTCTGAGAGACAGATTGAACATAAAAAAGAACATGATATGGTCGCGCAGATAAGTCAACAAAACGAAAATACACTTTTTATATAAAAAATCAACATTTACGATTGAGGTTGTAAAACCCAGTTCAACAAGAAATAATAAAAAATATACTCATAGGCTTTTTGAATACCTGAAACTAGATTCAATGGCTGAGGGTGAGTGACAGATAATTCTGACAGGCGACCTTTCAAACCCAATTTGAATGTCCACCTCAGATTCATTAGGATCCTTAGTCTGGCGTGAAGCATCAATCAGCAAGACCTCTTGTGGTTTCTGTTTGTGTATCCTTGTGGTCGGAGACTACCAGCAACAACCATAAAATGTACAGGATTATAATGACAAGTAAAATATGTAGTGTGCATTAAACTTTTTCAAGAAAATACAACTGTAACACATTAGAGATGAAATTCCACCAGCCAAGTTGAATGTCTGTCTGGTTATCATTTAACAGCCATCTAGAATATAATCAATGGATTAAGTCTTATGCAGTGTGCTTTAGCTCACTAAAATATCATATATCCAAAAAACAATGAAATTAAGTATAAAAAATCCTAAATGCACCCAAAACCTGTTTGAAATGCATACATGAAAGAGTTACCAACAATTTACAAAATTTGCCAGTTTCATAATTTTCAAAATTCGACCAATTTCTGAATCTGAATATTGATCCTTATTTCAGTTGTATTTGTTTATAACTCAACTTAATATACCAGACTTAGTAACTGCTGTACTGATACTGAGAGAATAAACAGTTGACTCCAACATTTATATCTGATCCATCATAAATGCTTCTCAAAAGACACATTGCATCTAGTCTGACTGATGCTGTGGTAAACTCTAATGAGGAATTCTCAGGTTAGTAAAGTTGCTATGTGTGTTGGGCTCATGGCTTTTCAATTTTCCATATTCCTGGTATAAAGGTTTGTAGGAAGATTACTTAAAAGGGAAACAATATTTTCAGCTGATATTTCTTGATCTATGAGATCGAAAAATCATTTAAAAAAGAAGAAATATATCATAATCAGGGTATGATATTCAGTATGATATTCAGTATGATATTCAGTCCCTGGTAATTATTGAAAATTCACAAGCAAAACATTTGTAGTAAAATTTATTTCACTTGGTGTTGTAATCAAAGTACATTTTGTATTACCTTGTATTGCAAGGAAAGGTCAAGGTCACTATCAGAGAGGTCGAGATTCATGGCAGGATTGGAAGGTGCTGGAGATCGGTGTTCAGTGGCACTAGGGGCCATTCTGTAACATTAAAAAGGAGGTACAATTGTTGTTACATTAAGGATTTTTTTTCTCTCTTTTAGTAAACCTAACGATCAATAATTCACAAGATCTACATGAAGTTATACCGGTAGTTTGTTTACTGGGTTTAACACTACATGAAAGCCAGGGTCATTTTATTGTGAGTCCCCATGAAGTAACAAGTGGCTATATCTCACGATCAGTGAACACTGAACAATGGACAGGAGACCTATCGAATATTACTGTTTAAATTTCAACAGGTAACTAACATTGTAATATTACAAATATAAACATCATTCTGTCGTTTACATTTCAGCTGATATTCAATGTAACTTTTGAAAATTTCATGATTGAAGGAGTATTTGGTGTCGTCATATAACTTGATACGGACTGGTTTACCAATGAGATGCAACAGGCATGTTGATTGTGCTTAACCTATGAAGTGAAACTAACAGGACTATCTTGATAATGCCAAACTCCTATGCACTTTGCTTGTCACAACTTAGTATGCTCTATATAAAACAACAAAACTTTGGAATTACTTACATCTTCCTGAATGCTGCACATTTTTAGGTTATCATAAACAACTTTTAATTGAACAGTTTTTGTTTTTTGAGTTTTTCTTAACTTTTGATTGTACTTTACCTGCGAGGTGTAACTGTCACACTCTCAGGCTCCTGCCCAACTCGTGTCACTGAAGTATCAAGGATCTGTTTCCTTGTTGACTGTTGTGCTCTCTCAGAACAATTGCTGCTTGTTGGTGCATTTTCTGCATATTTTGTAGAAAGAAATGAAAACATGATTAATATCTCATTTGATTCTTTTATCTTCAATGATGTCATGAGTTATAAATTATTTCTTGATCAAAGATCCTAACACCTCAACCCACATAATTAGCTGTTTTCTTAATGAAACAGAATGAATAGATATTCAGAAGTTTTTACATATTATTCACAAAATTCTTGCAGATTTCCTTTTTTAAAATTACAAATAAACACCACATATGACAATTTATTAAAGTTAATGTGGACCAAAACACCAGATTTATTCAACACTTTGGTCTTGCTTTCTCTTCCTTTGACAAGATGCACCCCATTTCAATCAAAATTTTATATCGCAGACTGAAAATCTTCACAATGAAAACAATGTTTTGTGCAGGTGTTGGGGGTTTCTGACATTGTACCTTCAATTCCACTGGCCAATACTTTCTTCTTTTGACCTTCACCCCCAGCAGAAACCAGACGGCCTTGTGCAAGAGGTTTTCTGGAAAAAAATCAAGAAAATGGAGAATTAGTTTTGAACCAATGTAATTCTTGAAAAGCTGTTTTTCAGTATAATTATCTAAAATGAAATGGTATATATCATTTTTCTCTTCCCTTTTTAATGTCTTCTCTCAACGTGTCCTGGACATTTTGGAAAATGGTTATCGCCTAAGAGAAATTGGAAAGGTTTTATGTGGAAATAGTAGAAAACCGAGGAAAAAAGATGATACCCCTTTTTGTTACAAATTCATCGAGGAAATGTATGGTTTTTTTTCAGAATGACACTGCATTTGAGTAAATAACTGATTTCACAAAGCAGTAACTATCCCATGTACACCCGTCCCTCAAATTCAGGACTGTTAACTATGTGAGAGATTGTGCCCAACTTGACATCTGTATCATCTATGTGATTTTAATACAGCCGAAAATGCTTATGGAGATATCTCTCCTAAGTGTACACAACAATAATTGAAATAATCAATAAGCATTTATATCAACAAAGAGGAAAACTATATTTTATGTTCGATCACTGGTAAGGTGAGCCAGCCAACAGCGATTTTTTTTCCCCAATTTACGGAAGTTTCATCAACAGTTTTATTTTCATGGCGGGCATGATTGTTCGGAATTATTATAACCTTTTGAAACATCAAGAACTGCATAAACACAAATATACACCTGTTTCTCCTCGGTACAACATTTTGCTGTGGTGCAGGTCTGTACAGAGATCTTTTCGACGCCATTTTTCAAGTTACCCGCCATTGAATCTCGATCGGGAAAATGCTTGCTTCCAGTGTGAGAATGATTAAAACGTTACACAGCATGAGACTCATAACCACGCTAATGCGGTCGCTATCTCTAATTTGTAACGTTTGGCAACGTAAATCATTGTCAACAAAACGAAAAAGGCCTACAGGGCCTGGTGGAAATTTCTTACAAAATGTGGAAAAATAGCAGGATTATAAGTTGTATTAAATCTCTTACATATATTTTTCTCATAATGCTATGGTGAAGAATTACTTTACCAATATACTAGACTCAATTCAAACAGACTATTAGTTGTTTTTAGGTACTGCCCTGGAATGTGTTGAGCTTTGACCAAAATGATTAATGATAAAAAAAAAAAAAAAATCTCTTTAATGTTCGGCATTTTATGTGTCAAGCATGCTTTGCTATATCTGCCAATTGTGAAATCTTTCAGTAGCATTCTTAATATCTTTACATCTTCAGAATTTCAAATAAAACTTTATCAGTTAGAAGTGTGGCATCTTGTTATGACCTAAATGCACCAATGCTATAGCATAAGTTTATTGACACACCTATCTGAAGGACAAGTGAGTTTTTCCTGTGGCTTGACTTCCATCTGTCCACTGGTCCATCCATTCAGTTCAACCACACATTTTCAAAGTCATGTGAGCAAAGTGTGTCTAAGTCTTAAACAAATTTTGTTCAAGGTCACAGGAATCAGTTCCTAATTTGGTAATCCAGAACCCCTGAATATTTCATCACTTCAACATATATACTATGAAGAAGAGGTATGTTTGAAATGTACATGAAAGTTACCAGAATGGTCTCCTTTCAACAATGGCCTTATTACGTAATGATTACATGATCATTACATGGTCCTGTTTCATTACTATTTCAAGATATGAATTTTATATTATATATATTAGTGCAACATAATCATGTTTTCCTGTGGTAGCGTAAACAATGCTAATACTGTGTGTATTGTGCATTAGGGTAATGGGTTAACTGGACGATAATGGACCATGGAGATAACACAGGCTAATAAAATAGATGGGTAGAAAGAATGAACGTACGTGGCAGTTGGTCAAGAGCCAAATAGAGTACCATTTCAAGATGGTCAAAGTATCAATTAATACAAATCAATTAAGTTCAATTTACACATTTGATTGTATAGATACAGGTCAGCCGACCTGGGGCAGAAAATTAAGTTCATTTACACAATTTGATTGTATAGATACAGGTCAGCCGACCTGGGGCAGAACAGGTATGCTGACTCCCGCTGGAATGTTGTGGGCAGGGGAGTTGACCAATCGCTGACATTCATATGTCACAGATATTATAAAAGCAGCCTTGAAGACTTGCGGAGTTAGTCAGCTCGGAGAACCTTTGCTGACGCCAACCTGCGGTCTCCGGCTACTCACATTCGGCCATATGAAACCTAAAATGTTATAGGAACTTTCGAACTTTTCGCCAAGAAAATTACTTAGTTATACACCAGTGTGACGGGTCGTCGGTCCACTGTTTTACTATAGTTGTAACGTATCCTGTTGTTATTCTCGTGGAGCCATACCTGGTGAATTATGTTAAATAAAACTTCGAACCTTTGGAACTTGGGTTGTTGAACTTTTGTCATTTCAATACGCATATGAACACCTGAAGTGTTATATGTTACTATTGATTTTTGGTGCCGTGACCAGGATCGAGAATTAACAGAAAGGATATTGTACAAAGAAGTGCATTGTATTATGAACTCTGACAACGAAGTTATTATTCAACGGGCACGAGAAAACTTTCCTGTACATTGGAAGAAGAAAATTATTGCAGTTGTCAGACCTTCTGACCACGAACTGAAGGAACTCGAGGAAAAGAAAAAGCCCGACATTACAGTCAGTACCGATACCCAACTACCCAGACGTAATAGACCAAGAGGATTGGTCCGCCGCGACGTTCCCTTAAGACCGGTAGGAGAAAGGCTACTGCCACAGGGTAATTACTACGCCCCATTTGACTACAACGATTTGCAGACTCTCCGCCACCTTGCTATTGACCAGACTTCGTAATAAGGGTAAGTGGCTCTTAATTCTTTTTACTATACCTATTCAGTCATGGTCGAACCAACCAATCCAGTGGCTAATGCCATGCAAGATTTGGCAACACAAGTCGGCAGTTTAAATGCTGCCGTAGCAATACAAGGGGTGGGTACTGCAATAACCCCGTTTGAGGGAGATGCCAAGAAATTTAAATGCTGGATGAAGGAAATAGAGCGCTATTCCTCAGCCATGCAAATTAGTGACGATAAAAAAAAGTTTGTAGCAATACAATCGTGCAAGGGCGCGGTAGCCGATTTTATACAACGGTTTATGACTGAATACGATAAAACACCATGGAAAGACTTAAAAGCGGAGTTAAAAGTACGGTTTGCGGACGTAACTGACTCACAGTACGCCCTAGAAATTTTGGCCTCCATGAAACAAAACAAAAACGAAAATGTAGAAATCTATTGCGAAAGAATGATTGACGTGGCGCAAGACGCATTTCCCGACGCCGTAGAAAATGGCCCTACGGTGGAAAGACAGTTAATTGGGTTTTTTTACAAAGGGTTTGTACCACAATTATTTGCGTGTAAAAATCATGCGGGACAACCCCGATACGCTTGCTGCTGCACTGGCTGTAGCTAGACGCGAGCAGAATTTAAGGAAGAGGTTTGCTCTTCATTCAATGACCGGGACCGATGCACGCGATGAAGGTGAGCGTGTGGAACAACCTATGGAGGTTGACCACTACCGGAACAAGAGATGTTACTCTTGTAACAAACTAGGTCATGTATCTAGAGAATGTAGGAGTGGGTCTAGAAAGCCCACGAGGCGTCAAGTGAACGCCTACCAGCAGAGCACTGAACAGTTGCGATGTTGGAATTGTGGGGGGCCACACAAGAGGGACAGGTGTCCACGATTAAACTTAAACCGGCCTACAAAAAACTAGAGAACTCCTGTCATGCTAAGGCCGATGACAGGGGGGAAGTAAATAGAGTAAAAACATACAAAATAAACTTGGCAGGTAATCCTAACTCCATTCTTGTTAAAATTAGGAAGCAAAAATTTAGATCCTTGGTAGATTCAGGAGCAGAAGTGTCGCTTATACATAGGAGGGTATATCGGAGTTTGAAAGATCCTCCGCCGCTGACCAGAAACAAGGTTTACTTACAGTCCGTAAACGGTAGTTCACTGACTATTGACGGGGCGACAACTCTAAGTTTCCAGGTTGGAAACGAGACTCTGACGCACAAGTTTTATGTGGTCAAGGACATGAATAGGAATATCATTTTGGGTAGAGATTGGTTGCAAAACAATGGTGTTCGATTGTATTTCGATTTAGGCTGTCTCAGAATACGTAAGGCCTATGTACCATTAGAGGAAGATATTCATATTTCTGCACTTGTCAGAAATCACAAGGAAGTAATTCTAAAACCACAAACTGTTTCTGTTTTTGAGGGTAAAGTTAAAAATAGAGAATATCTTAAAAATACGACATTACAAGTGTCCGCTATAGACAAAGGATATGTGTATGAGGAACCAGGCTTAATGGTCACGAACTCTATAGCTAGAACTAACAGCAACCTCAGACTTCCGGTTATGATTGTTAATAACACCAACAAAACAATTAAACTCAGGAAGGGATGTACAGTAGGGAAGGTTACCAGTATCCCTGAGCAAAATGTAGTGTCCATAGATCATACCAGTAGTACAAAAGATGTCAAGAGTGTTGAGTTGATAGATTTGACGAATGAACTTCATGTGACAGCAGAACAAAAACAAGACATTGCCGACATAATTACGAGGAATCAAGACCTGTTTGCTAAATCTGACACTGATTTAGGATGTACAAAAACGGTTAAAATGAAAATAGATACAGGTACACATCCACCAATTAAAATGAGACCTTACCGGACGCCATTGAATAAAAGGGAAGCGATAGACAACGCTGTCACTGAAATGCTTGAGGCTAAGGTGATAAGTAGATCTACGTCACCATGGAGTTTTCCGGTTGTGATAGTAGATAAGAAAGACGGAACAAAAAGGTTTTGTGTAGATTTTAGGCAGTTAAATAGAATTACCAAGACAAATTCATACCCCTTGCCATTAATAGACGATATATTGGCTTTATTGGGAAAAGCAAAGTATTTTACCACTCTAGATTTAAAATCGGGGTATTGGCAGGTGGCTATGGACCGCCAAGATCGACAGAAGGTTTCCTTCTGCTGCCACCGCGGTTTGTACGAGTTCAATGTAATGCCATTTGGATTATGTAATGCCCCAGCCGTATTTCAAGAACTTATGTCTAGAGTATTGCAAGGTTATGAAGATTTTGCTATCGCGTACTTAGACGACATTTTGATATTTTCCTCAACCATGACAGAACATTTGACGCACATCCAACAGACGTTCGATAGACTAAGAGAACATCACTTAAAATTGAAACTCAAAAAGTGCTATTTTGCACAACTGGAAACAAAATATTTAGGATTTGTGATAGACCAAAATGGTGTTAAACCTGATCCAGACAAAGTAAAAGCCATACAAGCAATGCCAGCTCCTAAAAATATCAGGGAGATCCGCGGATTCATAGGTATGGGTAGCTACTACCGAAGATTCATTCCTAATTTCTCTAAAATAGCAGAGCCATTAATTAATCTAACAAAGAAGTATGCAAAATTTAAATGGACATCCGAATGCCAGGAGGCATTTGATTTTCTGAAAAACAGTTTAACAGTTGTACCCTTGTTAGTATACCCAGATACCAGTCGGCCATATACACTTTATACGGATGCAAGCGACAGCTGTGTAGGAGCATGTCTCACCCAAACTCTTAGTGATGAAGAGAGACCTGTGTATTATTTATCACACAGACTTTCGGATACACAAACAAGGTGGTCTACAGTGGAAAAGGAAGCTTTTGCTATCCATTATGCCCTTCAAAAATTGGACCATTACTTACATA